AATGATTAAAACGTTGGAAAATAATAAATAAATAAATAAAATACCACGTGGTCATATTTATAATTAGTGTATTATCTAAGTTAAAGATTAAACTGTAATTAAACTGATGTCTCTCAAAAATAAAATCTTGGTCGTGGATAATTAAAATGAGGAAAATAATTAGATATCTATTTATTGATCATGATAATTAAAATTTCTGATACTCATTAAGGGGTTTCCATATTGTGCGGAACTCCGACTGGCACTAGACGTTTCTATTCACTTTTTATTCTACCTTCATCCTTCGCGTTCTAAAGGGAATTCGATTGTAAATTATCAGGATTAGTTTTTGTTCCTCCTGAACATTATTACTATCACTAATATTATCATAAGAAATATGCGTAGCCTACCAGTACAGTAGTACCTACAGGTACATGTGTAACCGCATGCAGTGATGAACTTATGACGGATAGACGCTGTGTTCCAGAAGTTGAAGATCGTTCTATGTCAACAACTAAAGAGACTCTGATTAGCTCAAGCGCGACAAGTAGAGGTCACAAGTGTTTGTATTTTAATTACTCCCGGTGAATGCAAAGATTTCCACTCCCAAGACGCTCTGCATGGCTAATGTCCATATGAATACCTTTATGCGGACACACATACGTATGTATGTATGTATGCATATGTGGTGACCACGTACCCATCATATACATACGTGTGTCTACACACACACACACACACATATTTACAAAGTGTGGATGTCTTCTTACACGAATTCTCCTTATTAAAGTTTTCTATTGACGATGCATCTATTTATTATTATACGAGGGTGCGTTTTTAAGTTTGCAGAATGAGTAGGTAGGTCATTAGTGAGGGTAGGTACTTACTCGAATCATTACGAATTAAGCAACTCATTATTATACAAATTGTGAAATATAGAGAAAATCGAGCAGCGCGCTGTTATAAGAGTCCTTACCAAGCAAGGAAAGGACTGGGACTAGGGTTGCCATCCGTACTTTATTATAAAGTATTGTACTCTACTTCGACTGTGCGTACGTTATACTTTACAAGACACATAAAGTACGCAAAAATACTTTATTTTTATGCCGAGTACTTTTTTTTAACCTTTTAGTCGAGAAATACTTTATGTAAAGCCTGAAAAGGTGGCAACCCTAACTGGGACTCTTGCCTAGGTAAATAAATACCTTCTTTAAGCAAGGCAGGGAGTCGCTTGAGACGACCCACGACCGATCTGGCGGTCGATCGAGGTGACTACTCCCGAAATCATTCAAAAGTCGAAAAACTAATAGTGGAAGATTCCCGACTTAAAAAGAAACAGGTCGCAGAAATGGTAGGAATATCAGATATAACCATTTTTTAAATTCTTCACGATCATCTTGGCATGACTAAAGTTAGCGCAAGATGGATGCTGAGAATGCTCACTCTGGCCTCAACTACAGCGTGTAGTGTCCTCTTGGACTTCTGTAGTGAAGATAAAGATGGAGCATTGACTCGAATTGTTACTGGGGTCGAAACTTGGGTTCATCATTATGAATATGAGTCCAAAGAGAACTCTATGCAGTGGCTCAAAAGCACACCACCACCTAAGAGGTTTAAGGTGTCACAGTCGGCTGCGAAAATCATGGCGACAGTCTTTTGGGACTCAGAAGGGATTCTATTGATCGAAAGGGTGTCTCCATAACCTAAGAATACTATGCATTCATTCTAGAACGGTTAAAGGAAGCAGTCAAAGAAAAAAAGAAAGAGGAAAATTGACCAAAGGTGTCCTCCTTCTGGTTGATAACGCGCCTGTTCACAAGGGCCGTGTTGCGATGGCTGCCTTGCAGAAGGTGGGTTTCGAAATTTTGGCCCATCCACCCTACAGTCCTGACCTAGCTCTCAGCGATTATTACCTATTCCCGAACTTGAGAAAAATTTTTCGTGGGAAGAAATTTTCAAGCGACCAAGAAGTGAAGGATGCAGTTTCGGCATATTTTTCAGACAAAGACAAAACATTTTTTTTTTCGAACTATAGGTACCTACGTAAGTTAATTGAATAATCGGAAAAATGCGTAAGGGTAACAGGTGAATATATTGAAAAGGAAAAATAAATTGGTATTTTTATTTCCACTTCTCACTCCCAATTTCACGAACTTAAAAACGCCACCTCATATGTATGAAATAGCAGCAAATGCATCACACGTTTTTTGCGTAGGCTTCAATTTACCTTTCGTTAATTGCTATAGAAATTTCTTGACAAGCACTAGACATGAAGAGTTAAATAAAAATAAATATGTACCTACTGTGTAAATACCAGGGCAGAAGCAGAAGCGAAAAGCAGTCATCACCTTAAATAGTCGAGAAACCGTGATGTACCTATTTTCGATGAGGGATCGGAACTTTTCATATTTCAGTATACAAATATTTATTTGAAATTGGATTTAAATATCTAAATTATCCCATATTTGAATATTCGTAAATAGAATATTTGAATATCCAAATTCTCAATCAAATATTTGAATACATAAACTGCTGATAGATTATAAATATAATGATTTGAACACACAATATTAAAAAAATTAGAATATTACATTAATTTTTATTCGAAAACATATTAAAAAAAATTGCACATATTAAGAACTTACATACCAGCATTTAATTCTTTTAGTATCTGAGTCACAGAACCTCAATCTTACATTTAAACAGGTATCCAGTTGTTTGAAATTCTGAATAATGAAATATTTGAATATTTCAAATTTAAATATTTAAATATTTAGATACTAGGTTTTCCTCGCGGCTTCGCTCGCAGAATTTAATATTGTTTCTCCATAAAACCTTTTAACCCCCAATTCACCCTTACAACGTTTTAATTTTATGTATTGCCGCCATCTTAGATTTCAAATACAAACGTAGCAACAACATCCTTAAGGGTTGAATTTTAAAACTTACCAAAACACGTATTTGCTTAATTTCAACAATGAGCAACCTTCGAGTAAATCCGAGTACAAATAAAATATACCCCATGGAATCGTTGCAACCTCTTGAATAATAATATCAAATAGCATATGTACGAAGTTTCAAGTAAATTCAACCACAAATAAAATATATCCCAAACAAAAATTGCAACACTTTCTTACCCCCCTTTGGAGGTTGAAATGTTTAAAATTTCGAGATAGGTCTTTCAGAAATTAAATGAGAGACCATTAAGACCAAGTTTCAAGTAAATCTGACCATCACATATAATATATATTCCGTTTAAACATTGCAACTCCTTTTCACCATTCCTCCTTCAAGTAAATCGGACCAAAAACAATACAATCTTTGTAAACCCCTGTCAGCTTGCTAAAGGGGTACAATTTGGTAAAATTTTGTAAATGTTGAAATGTTACTAATTTTATATGAAAGTTTCAGATAAATCTGACTATAAATAAAACACCATACTTAACCATAGACAATATTACGTTTAGCTGTCTTTTAAATTTTAACATATCTTTTTCAAATATTTTAATATTCAAATAGTTCGAATCAAACTCCGAGCCATATCTTGCATACATGTATTATATTCCTGGATATGAATGTATTTTATGAGTTTCAGGAAACCTTTTCCCATCAATAACTTTGAAATACAGGTTTAGTAACTCTAGCCTGCGACTTCGCTCGCGCGTAGTAATATTAGGTATTGGGTATACTTTATAGGGTTACCACCTCTAAAATCTCGCAACCAGGACAAAATGCATGAAAACCGTGGATTTTGGAACTTAAAACCCGGACATGTCAAAAGAGGTTTTTGTAACGTTACTTAGTAAAATAAATACTTTTTATTACACCGCTTGGATACTTCCCGAATGCCCTCTAAGCAAGGACAAATCTTGGAAAACCTGGACGGATGATAACCCTAGGTATACTATTATTGTGATAAGAAATTCTAATCGCTGAAAATCCCTTAGGGGATCTATCCATTTATGCTTAAAATCCAACCGAAATGCTGCATTCAAATCTAAAAAATTAACCTATTTTTTCCATACAAATAAACCGAACAAACAAAAATTTCCGTTTTGTTTTCAATTTTTGTGAATCTATTTGCTACCGCAAACAATTTTGACAAATTAGTAAAGGCTTTCGCGGCTACTAGGTGCATGAATTGATGTTGTTCTGATTCGGGTCTACATAAAGGCAAGCATCAGGACGACAGCTTCTATATAATATACAATTTTATTGTACTTGCAGATTAACAAGCAAAAATAATAATGGTACAGTACGAAACCAATTTCTAAAATTCCATTTCCTCAAAAATAGCTGGTCAACCAAAAAAGGTAAAGCTAACGGTTAAGTAAACGTTCAGCTGGACTGTGAAATTTGCATTAATCAAGTGCTATCCAATTATGAACAAAAAATGATGATATAAATTATTAATTCGTTCTCACTAACCAATAACACACCCTTAGCCTGTTCGTTTGAAGTCATAACTGGCATTGCACTGCGCCTAAATAATGTTCATACTGAAAAAAATTAAAATTGTTGGATTTACTATGCTGTGTTAATTTCTCATTTGACAGCTCATAGTTGAGTCCATTTTCTAGTATGAAAAGACTCAACTATGAAATGTTTAATGGGAAATTAACACAGCATAGTAAATCCAACTATTTAATTTCTCTCGATGCAGTTATCGTTGCGCGTTGACCAAAGTTTTCATATTAGCTGCAACAGACTGTACAACGTACCACATATTACAGCCTACTTTACTTAATGAAGCTATTGTACCTACTATTTATTTTGCTTTCATTTATTTAGCTATATTATAAATTTCGTGCTGGTAGAAAATGGAGAATGTTGGTTGGAAAATTGAACCATTTAAAAAAGTATTTGGAAACAAACGAAAAATAAATAATAATAATAATGTGACGAAAGGGAATGCAAGCTTTCACACATGTTTATTGTTACTTTTATTATTATTAGTTGGTAAAGTTGAAAATTTTTGTTTTGTTAGGCGAACGCGCATTACAATAGCTTTGTTGTTACAGGTGAAAATATGGTTCCAAAACCACAGGTACAAATGCAAGAGACAGGCGAAGGAGAAGGCCATGGCAGAACAAAACCAACATAACCAGGTAAAAATTTCTGTTTTTACTTCTTTTGCGGTCCATTAACAATGGACGGATTCACGATTCATGGTTTCCGACATCAAATACCCATTCAAAAAGGGAACGTAATCGGTTAATGTGCCGTAACTAAGACCCTTGTAATCTTATCAGCAAATTATGGCATCGTCGATTGAAGAACGCCTTTGTAAAGGGCGAAAATCGCAACAATAATTTTTACTATAAATTTGTTCTGATTAACTGTTTTTCAGTTGTCACTTGATCTTATAATTAGTTTCTAAAAAAACTATTTATCACTATACAAGATGTGTTGGAAAAATTGCGGACTGATTGCTCTATATACAAAACCATGCGAGTAACTTTTTTTTTAAAATGAACAAAGTTGCGCCATTTCTTTTCTTTCGTATATCCGTTAGATCCTGGAGCTGCTGGTGGTACAATTATTGTTGTCATCGTTAAGGATGTGGGATGTTCTAGTTTTAGAGAAATGCGAAGATTAGCTCAGGATGGGAAAGTGTGGAAATGCGTGGCCAGCCAATCTTAGTTAGGACTAACGATCTTATGACGATGAGTGAAAATGAAGGATTTAGAGAAACAACTTAGGTTTATGCGTTAAATTTTCTTTCAAGTTCGGGAAAAGTGCTACAGAGACATTCATTCAAAATGCTTTAAGTCTTCGGAGATGAACCAATGAACCGGTTGCAATGTTCTGATTGACGGATTGACTTTTTTTTTAATGGTTGGACAGTTGAACAATTTAGAATGCAGCTCGACAACGAGCCAGTCTACACCCCTGTGAGCGAAAAACAAGACGCCGGTAATCCTTCAGCATCTCTACTGTTTTTAAAAGAGAAGTCAACTTTGAAATAATACCGATTTGATTTAATTGACGGCATCATGAGAAATTGTATCAAGGACTTAAAGAGCATTCCAAACGGCTTTTGAAAGATAGAATATATTGTCGAGGCATTTGTCCTATATGGCACATTCTTATAATTATACTATCCATGTATTGTTACTTTTGTAATGAGATTCATCCCGCGTAATTAATAGATTAAAAAACGAACTAAAAATGACTGTATATTGGGTTCGTCTTTATGTCCTTCCAAATTGTGTGCCATATAATAGTTAGGATGAGACAACAAATCCAGATAAAATATGTGGTAGCATATCATATAGATACAAAGGATTAAAGCGATCGCCTTCCATTTGAAATGCACGAAACTTTAACTTTTAATATTTTTAAATACAAGTTAAGCAAGTTACTGGTAAATATCAGGTATAGAACGTGTTCATACAATGATGACTTTTTGGCATTATAGCATTTCGAATTTGTTTAGGACGATATCGGCATGTTAATTTTTTAATCTTTACTTCGCTCACTTCATACAATACTATTTTACTGGGCGTTCTTCGGCTTTGGTACTCTAAAATCGTAGATTGACATTACACGAATATCGATTCAATCGACATTAAAAGACCATTCGCACCTCAAACGTGTCTCATCTCGTTTAGCTTTAAAAAACCTCAATTTTTTTAAAATGAGTGTCGTGTTGAGGTCTGTTAAACAATGATTTCTACCAGAATATAATCAATTGTATTATTACGAAAATGAATTTAATACCAAACAACATTCGCGAAACAATTTAATTGGTTGTTTGTTAAACTTTTTTTTTTTTTTGATGAAAATGAAAAATATGTAGTTATGTTATACCTGTACCTACACTTATCTGCTATCTCTATATTTTGTCGTTTAAAATATTTTAACTGGTTGCTTTTCTATAACAGCTTGGATAGTACGTCCACTAACGAAGCTTTGTGATTATATATTATTATGATATACACACACATACATCTAATTTCTTGCACATCAAACTTACGCAATTAATTGAATTCGACCACATAACGTTTCGTAATTGTTGGATATTATGTTTCGCGCTTGTGGCATGTTTTTCCAATTCCAACTTCATTAACTTCTTATTCGATCGGCCAGTCAGTAATGCGGTGGCTAAATATGTACATACTACTTTTAATACATAGTGAACAATTTTCTGTATGCATGGATACCATCATCATCATTATACATGTGACCGTGATTATATGTATATGTATCTCCAGCATACAAAGGGTGTTTAGAAAACTGTTGTATATACTTAGTGATTGACAACTAAAAAAATGAAATAATTAACATAACAAATAATGTAGATAATTAGACAACCTTCATTTTTCATTTGAACCATTCTTTTGCTGGATTTACTGCACTAATTTACGAAAAGTTGGAAAAAACGTTTTTTTTTATAAGATTCTGAATTACCGTATTTTCGAAAAATCTGACCCTTGACCTCATCTGGCAATACTTCATAGTCGATACTTTGTTCAACATTGTTTTTGCAAATGCTGCTCTAGGTATCCACACGGAATTTTATTGAGTGACTAATTTTTATTCTTAATTACAGTAATCAAAGTAGTCAATATAATCATAATAGTTATCTAAAAAACTCAAGAATCGAATAATGGATTTTACTGTTACGTAATTCATTCAGATTCTACATCAACTGTTACCTCGCGTAAAATAACAAAAAATAAACGTAGTTTGAGGATAGCACTTAAATTGGATTCATCAACGGTCTTAAAGTAAGGATGCATGTCTTTACCGCCATATAAATAGTGTAAGGCGAAGTTAGCGCCACGAAATTTTTATATTTTTTAAATTTGCCTATTCTTTAATATTGGGATCCGTCAAATGGGCATACACCATCTGGTGGCAAAATTTATAACTCGAATGAGGGAAAAATTTACATAGGAACTGTGCACGCAAATTGTAAAATTGTTTATTAAAATAATAAAACACGTTAAAAAAGTAAAAATTTTTTTGATGATGGAGTCGACGAAGTTTTCTTCTAAAGTTAAATAAAAAAAAAAGTTAATATGTTCAGTGAAAATCTGCAATAGCACTTCAGACATAGATCTTTACTCTTCACCTACATTAACTACATTCCAATAAAAACTAAAATGTAAAAAATATTTTCGGAAAATTAGAGAAAAAAGTAAAGTAATAGAAGCTTGGATGAAAGCAGTAGGTATCAAAGAAGTGAATTCCGGAATAAAAATTTGTTCACTTCATAGTATTTCAGACATAGCTCTTCACTCTTCACCTACATTAACTACTTTCCAACAAAAACTAACCGTTTTATATATGTAAAAAATATTTTCGGAAAATTGGAGAAAAAAGTAAACTAATAGAAGCTTGGATGAAAGCAGTAGGTATCAAAGAAGTGAATTCCGGAATAAAAATTTGTTCACGTCATTTTAATGCACATGATTATATTTCAGGTATTTACCATCAGCCGTAACCATAATATTTAAAACTAGAATCATACTAAAATTATAAAGTGAGAAATTATTTGTTCCTGTGTAATTGATTTAACACAATTCTAATGATACGATATAAGTATTTTGAGGTTAAGAACCTACCTGCTCCAATACAACAAAGTTGCAATAATGTGTTTGCAACGTTCTCTTAAATCGGCTTTGCACGTGCAAGTCATTGATAGGATATTGCTTAAATCACCCAGAATCACCTCACCAATTATATAACGTGAATCACTTTTTAAATCCGAAGTTTGTAAAAAGTAGCCAGTAAACTTGACGGAATTTGAAGGCTAGCTTCTTTTTGTATAAGGGCGGCTCGACCCTACGCTACACCTTTTGTCTTATACTTCTACATGCTCCTTCCATAGTGATTTAATACTCACATAAAGGACATTTTTGTAATTCCGATAGTATCAGCCGTTCAAGATTGAAAAGATGTGTGATATTTAATACAACATAAAAAAGCAATAGTAATAGACAATAATAGAAATTGGGCTGTTGACTTTTGCATAAGGACAAATAATATTATGGTCAACGACTGGCGATGATTTAAGTATGTATTTATTTAGATTGTTTAACGGTCATTATTATTAGAAAGACGCGGAAATATGATGTGATGGAATTGATAAACGAAACTACTGAATTACCCGACTCTGTTTGCAATCGTCAGCCTCCCACAGAAGGAATAAACAACAGTGTGCACGTTTCATTACTTAACGTTAGTTATGCAGACTTTTTGTCTTCTTCTCGTTTGGCAGGCTTAAATAAACGAAAATGTTCGTTTAAATATTTAATCTAAAGACAAGTGCCTGTACATGGCAAGGACTTCACATTCAATGTTTTACCTTTAAACAATACAGACTTTCGTCCGACAACGAAAGCGGCAAACTTGTTCAACAAGTCCCACGGAAGTTGTATTTCTTAGATTCCAACTTAAATAATATATTTTAGAGTGGAATAATGATATATGTATTTTAATTATAAAATTTTAAGTAATGACGCGACAAACATCATTAAAACCAGGATAGCTTTTAGGGATAGATATAGGGCCAAGGCAAAAAATTAATATGCTTAGATTAGCAGATGATGTAGCAAGGGGGAGATAGCTTTAAATAAAATTAATGCGGTATTGACAGAATAGTATGGTATGAAAATAAATAAAAATTAAACAAAAACATTAGTATGCAAAGGAAGAAAAAGTATAAAAAAAAAGAAATGCTATAATGCCAAAAAGTAGTAAAATTTTCGTTAAAAAATCTAATTTATTTTTTTTAGGTTTCATATTTTTATAAGGTTTTGTTTTCATAACAAGGTATATTAATAATTTGTGTTTTATTTTAAGAATAAAAAAA